GCGTATAACATTCCAAAATAATATAATTAGGTGAATATGTTTAGCTTTAGGCATGTCATCCCAGAGAGATTGTGTTTGTATAATTAGGAGAATTGTGAATTTTTTTTAATAAGAGGTAAGTCTCTTTAAAATAAATAAAAATAACAATACTAAATTAGTTGAATGATGTGTTATCTTCTGCTATTTTAAAAGCTTGGTGCACCATCTACAAGAATTATGTGCTTGACAAGCCAATTACATTAAATGTGGATGGATCTGTAAAAGTCCGAAACCCCTAATAAGGATTTCGAGTATTTAATCTAATTGTAATAATACAATAATACCGAAATTATCATTGCGCATGAGAATTACAGATCTTCAGTTTACAAGGTTGATTCCTTGCACATTAACTTAGAATACCAAAATAGGGATTACTGGAATATTTAAGACTTAAAACGAGAAAACTACTACAAATAATAATTAACCTCAATTTTAAATCTAACAACGCGAAAAAGAATAATGTCATAGCTAATCTCTCACTGTTCGGGATGTAGGTTCTGATCGTCTTGATATGAAATGATAATAAAAAATGAGTGAGATACACTAACTCAATAAGAATACCAAAAACCATACCATCGACACAATAGTCAAAGGGTTGTAGAAAAATCATAAAATAGCTTATTGAGCATATTTTTAATTAAAAATAACTATAGTGCGATTGTACCATTCCTTTTTATAGAAACCATTTTATTACCTATTTTCTTATCAAACACAATTCATATGCAACATTAAGATATTATAGGAACATAATAAAAAACGAATAATTCATTACCGTCTCACACAAACTAAGGTTACTTATCATCTTTATTTTCATCATATTATATTTATTTTCACTACCGATATTGCTGTGGGTCCATAAGGATCGCCGCTACACGTGGGTGCTTAAATATTTCCTTTGTAAATCATTGGTCGTCCCCATATCTCATATGGTAATGGATACTATAATCAAAGATCGTCTCAATACCCTCCTTGGTATGAGTGTAATTAATTAACTCTCAACCCCGTCCGGTATAGGACCTCTCAGCTCCATACGACTAAAGTCACGTCCACTGTAGAGTTTATCCTATGTACCCAGTCTGTACACTTTTTTTCAAGATACCAACAAGACCTTGATTTATATCCATATTACACATGCATTTAGTTATATATAACTTTAAACTATTTAAGAGACTAATGACATATAAAACTTGTACATCACTAAAATGATAAACAAATCATGCTCTGCTACTAATCAAGGACCGAATTAAAATTCAACTCAAATGATGCAAGTGGAACGCACATTCCATAAATTGAATCAACATTATTATAAAAGTTACGATAAAACTAATAAAATAAAATACAAGAATTTACAGAATAAAATAATTTATCACAAGATAGATGAAAATAGATAAAATGAAATACGATAATTCAGCATATATGATCAACACATCGATTCTTAATAAACGTACAAAATAAAAAATAAAGACAGGTTTCATAAATTGAATAGGAGTGGAAAATTAAATGGCAAATAAATACAATTAAAGAAAATAAGAATAAAATAAAAATAAAAATCAAGGATAAATGTATAATAAGATCAAAAATGGGTGGAATAAACTAGAACAAAAAAATCAAAGTTTATTAGCTTCATCGATAACTTGGGAGATCGGATTAAACAACACACAACACGGATTATATTGGAATACAATTTAATGTTTTATTTATTTTATTTGGTTTGGCTTCGATTAAACTGTTATGAAGGGAGGGATTGAGGTATTCTTACCTTAAATCGGAGATAAGGCACCACCTCTCCTTGTCAACTATCACAGTCAAGCGTGGTAATCATGAGTTTCGAATTTCCTAGTGAAATTGAAGATATTTGTTAAAAAGATGACGAAAGAGCGAATAAGAGTGAGAAATAGCAAAAAAAAAAAACGATTACCAGGGTCAGTTTTGGGTCTCTGACACAATAGCACAACCAAGCTCTGCCGTTTGCTCCTTTTTCTCTAGCGTTCCTCTCCTTAAGGTTACGGCTTTTCTTGGATTATTCTATATCAAAAATAGTTTTAAATGGTCTAGAACAAAAAAAAATAGGAAGAATGGGAGAAAATCGTGCTTACCAGTGTTGTTTTCGACTTCTGACACAGTGGCGTCGTTGTTTCTCCGATGCTTGAGCTCCCTTGGGCACCCCCTACTTTTTCTTCTCCAGTCGACTTGGCGACTAGATTTTGGGAGGCCAGTTAAAAAGAGGTTTAAATATCTCTTTCCCTTCAATTTGGGCGTTCGTTCGGGTTTATATGGAGTAATGGGAGCCGTCCGATCAGGCCTATTTAGGGCATCCCATATTTCCCTCTCGCGAGCGATCTTGATCATTGGATCGAGTAACCTCCTCAAATATAGGCCTTTGATCGTGCGGACATTGGATTGATGCGGGGTTCATCCAAGCCGTTCGTTCAAATTTAGGTGGGTGTGAATCTAGACCACCTGTGCGCGCGGGAGCGACCACAAGTCATTCGAACCTCCTGGCACACGAATTGCCAACGTGGACTTTCCGTATGGAGTCTTTGTCGACGCACCTGCCACACAGCGTATGACAATTTTTTGCATTGCTGACTGGGCTTCCACGTGACCCATTTTTTTGGAATTACATACTGATCCCTAATCACTCAGATTTATTTAAAATAGACTGATTTTTATCATAAAATGACCCTATTAGGAAATTTATTTTTTTAAAATGTCCCTAGAAGAATTTTTTTATTATTTTATTTTATTTTATTTCAATCTATTTTTCTTATTAGTTATTATTATTATTATTATTAAAAAAATTTGATCTTCCTTATTTCGAAATTAATTATCCCATGTCCGGGATGTTACAGGATCAATATTGTTATAATATATTCCAAAAATATTTTATTACACAGTTTTTAATAATTTAAAACAAAAATTTTTATCACAAATTTCTTTAAAATAATAAATATCTATATAATGTTAAAGTAGTTGTAATGAGATCGTGATAATAAAATATATTGAATCTAAAAATAACTCATGAATAGTGCTAGTCATAAAAAAAATATAATTTGAATGGATATTGTTGTATATGGATAGAGTAACACACTATGTTCTACTGGTTAGAAGCCAGTATGATGATCTTGAACTCCCGAGTTCGAGAACTAGTACGAGAGGGGAGAGAGATAAAAAGAAGTGAAAAAAGAGTAACATATTATGTTATTTATATTGAGTGTTTAATATATTAATGCGCCTATGATGTGGCACCAGGCGGACTCTTAGCCAGCGTGTATCATCTTACGAGAATAGAATATGGTGCCCTTTCCATATGTTTTTTGGGTTTGGAAAAGTGCGAATTTTCAAGAACGAAAATCTCATGATATGTTGAGAATCTCTTATTATAATCATCCACGATTGAAACGTATCTTAATATTGTAAATTAAGAAACTGATGAAAAATTTATCACTGACTAACTGATTGAATATAATGAGTAAAATATCGAACACAATTGTATTTTTATAGCAAGAAATTTGCAATTAGCATTTTGGTAAATTTTAGATATTAGTTAACAAGATTAATTAATTATAAATTAGAGTATTTTATGATGTGGACTTGGGGTATCATGGAGATGAGTTATCTTTTCTATAACTTCAACTTAAAATCTTTCTTTTAAATACTATAAAAGTTAATATATTTTTCATAATTTCCCTTCCTAGTATCTCTTGTTTTAATTTGTTAAGTATTACTTTATACTAATACTGATAGCAAAAAAAGGTTGGGGCATGCAAGAATTTGTAGAAATTGAAAAGGGTATGAATTTTTAAATTATTTTTAGTATCTTATATTGATATATTTAGTTGGTATAAAATGATAAAAAAAAAAATGTAGGACCACGTAACATATCCTTTTATAAAGACAAAGCTAATGCTTAAAACATATACAAATAGGAGGGGTTAGTACATGAGTGAAGTTTAGGGGTAGGC